AATTTACAGAGTTTATAAAAGAATAAAACATAGATCAATTTGACTGATAAAAATGAAATTTTCTGGGCTTAGCCATTAAAGTGCTGCAGTTGGCATGGTGGAATACACTTCTAATCCCAGTGACCAAGAGGCAGAGACAGTCAGATTCCTGGGGCTTACAGGCCAGTAATGAGATGTCTTACTGCAAGCCCATAAGAAACACTTCCCAATTAAATATTCAGCCTGAGGAAAGACACCAAAGGTCATCCTCTGGCCTCACACTCTTACATGAACACACACACACAACCTAAAACTTCTGCATGGAAAAAAATGACAAGAAAAATCTATGGGGAAATAACTAACTCATTTCACAGACTGAATGAGGGCTGATCTCTCTAAGATGTACAAACTTTTACAACAGGGGAAAAAGGACAATGACACAAATGAATGAATAGAATTTTACAAATGACTCTTTAAGATACAAAAGGATGCTCAGCTATGTTCCTAATAAGGAAAACGCAAATGGCATTTGACACTGAGATTGTTATATAGCTAGAAAGTTAGCTAGCCTTCTCTTTGGAGAGGCTGTGGAAAAACAGGTTCTCAGACAGCAGCAACAGCAGCATGGAAACCCTCCCAGAAAGCAGTTAGTTCAGTAACTTCTATCCAAATGACGATGCAAACCTAGACCTTTACCCCACAGCCCCATCCTGAGAACCTCCCTACAGATAGACTTGCAGACACGGTAAGTGACATGTTTACAAGGTAATGTGCTGCAGGGTGAGTTATCATAGCAGAGGATGGGAAACAGACAAGCACCAGCTAACCAGAGTGTGAGATAAATTATGGGCTTATGGTTCATCCATCAAACAAAGAGCTGCACGGCTGCTTGGAAAACGAAAGAACAGGGAAGGTCTTGGGCGCTCACACAGGAAGGCTCCAAGACACGCCCTGTTTAAGGAAAGTGAGGGCTAGTGCCTATAGTATCATCTTTTGTGTGTTGAAAACAGCTGGAGGAGGAGGGGTTCCCTTAATTTACTTGCATTTCCAAAAGAAACTCAAAGGACAGAAGTGTTGTGTGAGGCAGTAGATACTTAGAGGAGAAACCGGATGGGGAGATATTTCTTTCACTCTAAATCTTCTCAAGGGGTGGTTTATTCCAAGAGAAGAAGATTCTCTCTCTCTCTCTCTCTCTCTCTCTCTCTCTCTCTCTCTCTCTCTCTCTCTCTCTCTCTCTCTCTCTCTCTCTCTCTTTCTGTGTGTGTGTGTGTGTGTGTTAAGGTACATGTGTACATATGTACATGCACATACACATGTGTTCATGTGTGAACCACAGGCATTCATCCACAGGTGTGGGTCTACATGGTTTTTAGACACAGGGGCCTCTCTCTGGGAGGGGCTGGCCAGCAAGCCCCAGAGACCTGCCTAGTTCTAGCTTTCCCAGCTGGAATTACAAGTACATGCCACCACACCTGACGCGTTACTTGGTTTCTGGGAACTGAACTCTGGTTCTCGGGCTTGCAAGACGGGCACTCAGCCAACTGAGCTATCTCACAGGCTTCTACGCATTTTGTTTAAACCATGTGAACATATCACCTACTCAAACATCATTGTTTAGGTCTGATATTGTGATCTCAACTTCTTTCACGGCTTACTAAGTAGTGTGCAAGCACAGTGTCCTGTGGTCCCCACTCAGCCTCCGTCTATTCCAGACCCTGTACTGAGGCTGTGGACCGTTGAGGTAGAAAGGGATCGAAAACAGCCAACCGCTGGGTGCGTTGACTGGAAATGAAAACAGTATTTATTTAAATTTTTTTTCATTTTGGTGGATCTGTACCAAAGTGTCCCCGTGTAACCCCAGGAATAGGAAACTGTGGGGCGCCCAGGTGCAGAGCCCACGGCTTCTACCTCCAAACTCTCACCTCAGGCTCCATCTTCCATGGTCCTACCAGCTCTCGGAAACACCTGGGAAGCCCTAATGGTACCAATTACCAATTTAAAAGGTTTACCCGTGTCAAATCAGCTTGACTTCCCTCTGATTATGGCTGAAGTCGCATGTTTTGTGTGTGTGTATTTGATTAGCTGCTCACTGTCTTTGACAAGAAGCTCATAGGTACAGGGTCTGTATTTACTCTGCTCACCTCAGTGAAACAAGTGCCTAGCAAACAGTTGGTGCTCAATATATTTTAGACAATTAAATGGATGAATGGATTCTGGGATCTGCTGGAAAAAAAAGCAGAGGATAAGAGACACATTGAGGCGGGGGCTATAAGGAGGCAGGCCCAGCAGTCCCCAGGAAGGGGTCCCCAAGCGTCTGTTCCCACCAAGCCCCGAGCTGTTTTGGCTGTGTTGAATTCTGGCTTCCTCCTGGGAGCCACCCATTGGTCCCAGCAGGAACTGAGGACATACCTGTCCTTGGACAGGACATGCTTCACTGATGGCTTTCCAAGTGCGAGGCTGGGACTTGCTTCTCTGAACACCATCCCTTCTAGAACCTCCAATAAAACCCAGATTTGCACAGGACAGAAAGTAGCCAAATGAAAGATGCCATGAGGGATATCCTGCACATGCCCTTGGCCTTCTCTCCTCATGATCTGTGGTCTCTCTAGACCAGTGGTTCTCAACCTTCCTGATGCTGTGGCCCTTTAATACAGCCCCTCATGTCGCAGTGACCCCATTTCATCAAATTGCTTTATTGTTCCTTCACGGCTGTAATGTTGCTGTTGTTAGGGATAGAAATGGAAAAATCCGTGTTTTCCCATTGTCCTAGGCTAACCCTGTGAAAGGGTCATTCATCCCCAAAGGGGTCTCAACCCACATGTCTAGCTCTAGACGCTACTTTCTTCACCTGTGAAATGGAGCGGCAATATTGTAGCGTGTGCTTGTTACAGAATGATACAGCAGTCCTCAACAGATGCAAATAAACCCAATGCCCCCGTCCCAAACCCAATGAACAAAACGGCTCTTGAGGAGAACAGAGGTATGGGACTCTGATCTTGCTTGTTTTGTGAAGCTGAGGACTCGACTCCAAGCCTTGCATGTGCTAAAGCAAAGGTTGACTCAGCCATGACCCCAGCCCTTTCTGTCGTCACTATCATAGCTGGTGACTTAGAGCTTCGTGTTGGCATTCTGTTACTCTGCTTCCTGGCCACTACGAGGGAAACTTCTCTGCCCTCCTGCGCCTTCCATGGGGATCAACATCCCTGAAACTGTGAGGCCACACAAACCCTTCCTCCTTTGAGCTGCTTTGCTGTCTATCTTGTCACAGTGACAGGAAATTTAACTAAAATATGCTGTTATATGTGGAAATGAGATAATTTTGGAGATCTTGGATAAAATAAACCATACGTAGTCCACTTGTTTCTTTTTTTATGTTTTTAAATGTTACTAGAAATTTTAAAATCAGGTGTGTGCTCAAATTATATTTCCATGGACAGCACCGTTTGTCAGCATAACTAAGGGGAGTCAAATCTGACAAAACTTGTCAAGCAGAAATTTCTTTTGCACAATTTTTTTGGGGGACACCTGCCCTGACCTGTTTTATGTCAACTTGACTTAAGCCAGAGTGATCAGAGAGGAGGGTGCCTCAGTATGGAAATGCCTCCATAATGTTAGGCTATAGGCAAGCCTATAGGGCATTTTTTTAATTAGTGATTGATGGGGAGGGCCTGGCCCATTGTGGGTGGGGCCACCCTTGGGCTGGTGGTCCTGGGTGCAGTAAGAAAGCAGGCTGAGCCAGCCACGGAGAACCAGACTGAGCCAGCCACGGAGAACCAGACTGAGCCAGCCACGGAGAACCAGACTGAGCCAGCCACGGAGAACCAGACTGAGCCAGCCACGGAGAACCAGACTGAGCCAGCCACGGAGAACCAGACTGAGCCAGCCATGGAGAACCAGACTGAGCCAGCCATGGAGAACCAGACTGAGCCAGCCACGGAGAACAAGCCAGTGAGCATGGCTTCTGTGTTGGCTCTGACCTCCAGGCTCCTGCCCTGCTTACATTCCTGACTTCACTGATTTTGATGATGAACTATACTGTGGAACCTCGAGTGAAACAAATCCTTTCCTCTTCCAACTTGCTATTGGTCATGGTGACCCATCACAGTGGTAGTTACCCTAAGACAGCGTGCTGTTGAGATTATGTCCAAAATGTGCACCAGTTGGCTTTCAGCCATTAGTCCCATCTCTCTGGCGCACTCTGAACATACAGAGGAGATACATGCCAGGACCCGTGTCAGATGCCCAGAGGGATCTCAGACCAGAATGGGGTAGATGCTGAAAGAACTCAACTCCGAGTTTATCCAGGAGATGCTGTGGGAAAACCTTCCTTCCTCCGTGGAGGAGGTGCTGGGGGGCCCAGGTGGGTGGGATGTACCTTGTCATCCCTGTGAAGCATCTAAGGCAGCTCTGTCCTTGAGGAAAGACATGTCCTGGGGATACTTGGGGTAGCCTGAGCTCCTTCCCCACTCTGTACATGCTCTTTCTGGGGACTCGTGATCCTCTTTCCCTCCCTATGAGCCAACTGAGGTTTGACCCATCTAGTTATGAGAGAGATAGGAGGCTACAAGGGAGGCTTGACAAGAAAGGGTCACCCTCTACCATGGCTCAGATATGTCCCCAAAGCTCATAAATAAGAACGTCAGCCCCATGCAGTATTGAGAGCTAAGAACCTTGGAGGGATGACTGAGTAACACAGCTTCTTCCTGATAAACAAATTCCTCCACTTACGGACTGGTGGCTGCACAGGTCACAAAATCAAACTCTCTCTGGTCACGTCAGTCCTCCCACCACGTTACAATGTAGCAAGAGGGCACTGAGGAGACTCAATTCCAGTTCCCGGTAGGATGGCCATGCTCCAGGAGATGTAACCACGCCCAGTTGAACTCAGTGGGTTATTAAAAAAAAAAGACACAAAGTGAGGAGGAGATGGGGTAAGGAGTAGGTCTGGGAGGGATCAGAGAAGGCATGTCAGTAAAAATGATCAAAACTCATTGTTTGCATATATGAAATTCTCAAAAAAATTAGTAAACATGTTTTATTTTAAAAGAAGGTCCACAGATGCTAAAAGATTCTTTTATCATGCTCTCGAACTTCCCAACTTCCAGAACCACAAGCTTAATAACCTCCTATTCTCAGATATTTTGCCACAGCCACAGAAACAATGGATCACCATAGCCTCCTCCCTGTACTTTCAGCTGGTAGGATGGGGCTAGACAGGGCCAGAGCCAACTCCAGGAAAACCTAAGGCTCAGCCATCGCTGCACACTGTCAGTTATCACACAAGTCAGCAGCCACTAAAGGGAAAGAAAACAAGAAGCCCAGTGAGGCCCTCATGTGTCACCATTTGTCCCCACAAGCCGAGGATTTGGCTGAGGAATATGTAAGAAATACTTCCCTGAAAGCTAGGTGTGGCCATACCAAATGTTCCTCCACTGGAACCGTCTCCCCATTCTTCCTTCAAGGTCCAACTTGTTCGGTGAAAGCACCTGTGCCCTCTCCCAGGAGCAGGCCCTCTCTAGCCTCTGGTCCCCTGATACCTCAACAACACCCTCTAACACCTGGCTCAGGTCCACCAGCCCCACCCCAGGCTTCCCAGAAGGCAGCTCGGCTCTGAAGGCAGCACGGTTTCACCCTGCCTCTTTGAAGTTTCTGAGGTACACTCAATCACTGCACATCAACCGCTTTCATGGCAGGCTGGGGCAAATGAGAATCAAAGTTCGAGTCACTTAAGACTGCGATGTGGTGTCACACACCTGTAACCCCACCACTTGGGAAACATGGGCAGGAGGATTGACAAATTGGAAGCTAACCTGTGCTACACAGCAAGTTCCAGGAGAGTCTGGGCTATAAAATAAGACTCCAATGCTATTCTTTCCCAAGTCACTTTACAGTGCTCCCTGAAGCCCATTCAACTCCACAGGGACTCGGAGAAACCTTGAGTGACCCCTTCAGAGAGCCAGGGGCCCTGCTGGGTGACAGTGTCCCCAACCACCCCTGCCTTCTACTGGCTGATGATATAATGAGAAATGGCTCGCTGTGACTTTAGTTTTCTGTCTGTAGGGCCACGGGCAATGATGGAGAAATAAACAGAGTATTCCAAGGAAACCAATGCCACGGGCGCAGATGACCTGGAGACAGTCACAAAGACCTCACCAAGGAAGCGAGCGGCATGCTAGCTGGGTCTTAGATGGGAGGAAAATGGGAGAGTTGTTTCAGACCCCAGAGACAGCACCTGCAGAGACAAACGGGTAGGAAGGGACTTTGAGTTCAGGACATGGTGAGGAAAAAGGTTGTTGAAAGGCAGGCAGAAGGTGGGGTCTGAGTTTTGAAGAGCCACATGCATAGCTGGAGGTTTCAGGATTATGTTCATGTTATCAAAAGTTCACTTCAGAGACTGAGTGAAGGCTAGCCCACTGTGGAGGGAGTAAGGCCATACAATAGATACTGGACCCCTGGAAAAGAGAACAGATCTTTTATTTTAGACATCTACTGACTACAAACTGGATAGTTAGGAATGAGGAAATTTAACTTATTCCCCCAAGCAAAGGACAACAGGGACAACCTCACTTTTATGTCCCAACGGCAGTCATTGCTAATCAACTGTAGCACTATCTATGCTGAGTCTGGCCTTAACCACAGGTGGACACCATCTTTAACCAAGGTAGCAATTGTCTTCAACCAAGGTGGCACACAAAATGAAGATTGTTTTCCATCCTTGCCCTAGGGAAATAAAGCCCAGTGTTGACATTATTCCAAACTAAACAACATCAGCTAGATAAGATTCATGTAAAAGTTCCGAAGAATTAAAATCCAAAGTAAATACAGGGGTGGAAGGGGAAGCTTGGGATTAGCTTCACTCCACTTCAGAAGACTCATATGGTCACCTCTGCACCAGACATCTGGAAAATGCAAACAGTTTCAAGGCTCTACCACCGCCGCGTTCGCCTTCCAGTCTCCATTCTCGTCCGCACCAAGAGAGAGGCAGAGAAATCAAGTTGGGATCACGGTCCTGTGCCAACGACATGAGTTGTACCCTAGCTGGGAAAGAGCTACATCTGTCTGACCTTGTCCCCCCATCCTACCCCAGCCAGGGATTCTGGGACGACGCAGGGCCCCAGGGTCGAAGACCACAGCTCCATGCTCTTGCTCTCTCCATGCAGCTGTTGGCAGACAGCTGGACAAGCAAGCAGCAGCAGAGTCTTTGATCCTCCCTTCTCTCCGTCCAGGCCTGCACCTCCTTCTCACATCTCAGCCTCACCTGAGAGAGCAGAAGGAAACCAGGATCAGGCTTGCCTGGGTGGAAGGGTCATCACCACCCAGTCCCTAGTCTGCTCAGTACCTGGTACCGGGTGAAGGAGCCCCCCCCCCCGCCATGAACTCCCTCCTCCTACCCTGGCAGGGTGCCACAGACATGCACCTGTTTGCTGTTTGACCTCAGACACAAAGCCCCAAGTGGTTATGATCGTCTCACAGTCTGAACCCAGGCCAAGCTTGAGGAAGAAACCAGCTCCTACATATGACAGCAAACCAGTGTCTGTGGGGCCTAGCATTCCTTGGCTCCCAGAGGAAACCTCACGGGGACCCACCATGGAGGAGTGGCCTAATCCAGTTACGTCCTTTGGAGACAACAGTCTTGCCCGTAGGCTAGTCTGGGGGAAGAGTGGAGACGGTGACGGCAGAAACGACCCAAAATGGACGAAGGGACTTAGGGTAACTTGACAGAAGCAACACTCATTTGGGAAGAGGGAGCCTCACCTGAGCAAGTGTTCCCACCAGAGTGGCCTTTGGGAAAGACTGTGGCACATTTTATTGATTGATGATTGACGTGGGAGAGTCCGGCTCACTAGGGTGGCGCCACCCCTGGACTGGTGATCCTGGGTGCCGTTCAAAAGCAGGCTGAGCTGGCTGTGAGGATCGAGTAAGACAGCAGAGCTCCTCCATGGCCTCTGCATCTGTTCCTGCACACAGGCTCTTGCCCTGTTGGAGCTCCTGCCCCAACTTCCCCAGTGATGGCCTGTGATGTGAGCTCTCAGCCGAAGTAAACCCTTCCATCCCCAAGTTGCTTTGGGTCGTGGGGTTTAATCACAGCAATATTAACCCTAACTAAGGCAGGGGCTCCGCGTGCGCTGATGTCATTCAAACCATGATTCACTAGCTCCTGGTATCCGGGTGACAGGGGCTGGCCCTAGCGCAAGCCTTTTTGAGAGAACCAGGGGCCCGGAGGAGCATCACACCTTCCCACCAGGCAGCAGGAAGCCTGTTGTTCAAGTCAGAAGTAGAGAGTGAAGTTCCTGCTGTAGGAAGAAGTGCTGCGCCAGCCCATCAGCCCATGTCTTATAATGTGAATGCGAGCCGTTGCCATACAGCCTCATGTCCAGTGCTTGGTCCCCAGCCGGCGGTGCCTCTTCAGATGGTGATGGAGGCATTCAGACATAGGAGCTAGCTGGAGAATGTAAGCTCCTGCAAGCATGACTTTGACATTAGACTGGGCTGGGGCTCCATGGCTCAGTGATTAAGAGCACCCGCTGATCATCCGGAGGACCTGGGTTTGATTCCCAGCACCCGTATGGTGGCTCCTAACAGTCTTTAAGTCCAGTTTCAGGCAAACTAAGGCTGTCCTCTGGTCTCTGCAGACATCATCGTGCAAGCGGTACATAGACATACAGAAAAACACCCACACGCACAAAATAAAAATTTAAAAATAAATAAATGCAGTTAGACATGATTCCTGTGGTGGTTTAAAAGGAAACAGCCCCCATAGGGAGTAGCATTATTAGGAGGTGTGTTCTTGTTGATGTCTCACAGATGCTCAGTGTGGAACAGTTCACTTCCGGCTGCCTGCGGATCAAGATGCGGGACTCTCAGCTCCTTCTCCAGCACCGCGTCTGCCTGCACGCCACCAAGTCCATGACAGTGGACTCAGCCTCTGAAACTGTAAGCCACCACAACTAAATGTTTTCCTTTGTAAGAGTTACAATGGTCATGGTGTCTCCCCACAGCAATAGAGACCCTGACTAAGACAGTCTCCATCCTTTCTCTGCTGTCTGCTCTCTGCTCAGTGTGAGATAGACAGTCTCCTACACCACAAGGTACGGATGCCGCCCTGTTCTTCCCCAGGATGTGGGCCCTGGACACTGTAGATCAAACCCTCGGAAACCCTGAGTCAAAGAAAATTACGCCGCTCTCTTACGCTGTTACATTTCTGTGTGGTGGTCACATCACAGCAAAGTCTAGCATGCTACTCGAAGATTCTACAGTCTTGGAGCCCCGGCCGCACTCAGTCCAGATTCCCAGAAATCCTGGTCTTTGACTAATGTCACCGCCCCCCACATGATCCCAGCAGGCCCCCAAATGGGAATAAACCATGTTTCTCCTGTGTGAAAACTGACACAAATATGAAAACAGAGGAGGACATGGGGATCCCACCCTGTCTGCGCTGACCCCACTGAGTTAAAGGGAGTGTGGGAGTTTCAGAGCAGGTACGATCAACAGTGAATTGGAAGAAAGCTGGCTTTTTTTTTCTAATGGAACTAAAAATAGTGTGAGGTTTTCAGGGACTGGGATATTGCTTCAGGATGTGGCTACGAGACAGTTTTCGCAACAGTTATGGGCCACTCAGAAGCCTGCACAATGACCACCGCTGCTCCAGAGCTGAAGCCAGGAGAAGGCATGTGTGTGCCGACCCCAGCCTCTGCTCTTTCGGCATCCCTCCTCCTGGCACTGAGTTGCCCACATCCTGAGTCCCAGTCACTTTACAGGCAACCTTTCTCAAACTCCCCCCACACCCCCGAAGCACCTCACCACCCAAGAGGAATTTGCAACGGGAGAGAGCTGTCTGAGGTAGACACCTGTGGACGCCTCTGCAAGTATGCAATTCCCTCTAAACCTGTCTCGGCCAAGAACTCATGGAAATGTCTTTTTCCCCTCCCCTCCCCCCCCAAGTTCAGGTTTCCTTTTGTGCTCAAAAATCAATTTCTCGTAGTTACTTTGTTACTCAAAAGAAGAGGGCCCTGCGCCATCAAGAACCCTTTGGCTAACTAACACTGCCAGCCGGGGAACCCTGAAGTAAAACTGTTCTATGTGCCTCAGTCTCAGAGGTCCTCTGGTCCTTGAGGCTCATTGCTGACTCTTCCATCAATTCATTCACTTATTCACTAAGCGAGGACTCCAGGATATGCCACGGAGAAGCCCAGCCCTCCCTGGGACTCAGTTTATAGAAGTTTATGACACAAGGAAGCTGGGTGTCATCCATATCCTTGACAAGTGCTCCAACAGAGTGTAACCAGAGGGCTCTGGGAACCTCATGAGTGAGAAAGTTGGCAAGCCCCAGAAACCACTCAATCCCTTGTCTGTAAAATGAGCATAATGGCCATGCGGATTAAACAAGCCCTCATTAGAGCAATGGGAAGTTCTCACCGCGGTGCCTTCCCGGTCCTAAGAGTTCACTAAGGGTTCACTAAGTGCTGCATATTTCCTCGAGACCTGCGGAATGGCTGGCATAGAAGTGTAGGGGGGACAGGAGATAAATGTGTGCTCCAAGCAAGGAGGCCTCACGCTGAAGAACAAGCAGTATTTCTTACACAGGTGTATTCACTCAGAGAAGGGAGAGTATGGTGATCCTCACACGATCATCCCTAGCCATTGTTCCCTGGCAGGTTCCTGCAGGAGGTGCCCAGGGGTAGTTAAGCCCCTGCCTTTTCCCAGGATGAATGGCAAGGGTGTCTGGTGGTCTTTGCCATGTGGGATCCCACAGACCTGAGACAGACTGAAGAGTCCTATTTTTTAGTTCACTCAGGAATGACCAGATCTCTCCCCTGGCCCTTTCTGCTATTTTACTATCACTCCTAGGGCGGCTGGGGGAGGGGGGGATGGGACACAAAACCACTGGAAAGGCCAGCATGGAGCAAGCAGAGAAATGCAGGCCAAAGGACATTGTAGGTACCACAGGGTAATCACAGCTTCGGCATATCACCCAGTACAGCCCAGACAGCTCACTGGACTCCTGGCAGGAGCAGATGTAGGGGATGGGTGTTAATGGGGTACAGTTGGGTGGGGATCACAATGGGGTGGGGGTGATGAGGTATAATGGGCAGGGGTTTTGGTGATGCTGTTCCATGGCTACCCATACTGGTTCTCACTGCAATGAAACAGTTCCTAGGACTCGGGGATTTTAGTGCCCCAAACCAGGACAGTCTGAGGCAAACGGACATGAGCTGGTCACCCTGTAGATCCCATATGGTGGCCTGGAAATCCATCCTAACTGACTGCCATTTTCTCCTCCCCTGCCTTCTACCCCACTGCCCCTTCAGCCCCCAGGGATCCCATAAGGGGCGAAACTGAGGTAGCCTGGGCATGTATGGGATCTGGGCAGAAACTGGGGTACTCTGCCCCCAGTAGGTCAGAATGGTGGTATTTATGGCTCTCGTGGTACTAACAGATGCCCTGAGACAACAAAGCAATTCTTTTCCTCCTGTCGCCACTGCTCTCCAAGAGGTCAGAGTCGTGACACTGAACCCACCACTGGCCCGCCAGAGCTCAGTGGGCCCCTCAACCTGGTGTTGGCCTGCTTGGACAAGTGGACCGGAGTCTGCAGAGGGTGCCCTTGACCAGGACTCAGGTCCACCCGTGCTAAGAAATCTGAGGGAGTCCCCAGGGCCCTGCCCAGCTCTCTGGGGTGCGCCCTGACTTCGAGATTGCAGCAGGCTCTCTGCCATCCCATTAGAGGGACATTCTTTGGTTTCAATTACCAGTCTCCACTTGTATCCTGGTCCGAGCTTGAATGCCAGGCTATATTAGGTCATGCAAGCCAAGCCTGTCCTTTCTCATTAGCTGCACCCGTATTTTAAGGGGTAGTAGAAACAGGCATGATGTCAGACAGCAAGGCTCTCTCCTGAGCGACCATATGTCACCTCCATGAATATGTCACAGGTAGAGGTTCAAGAGCCCATCGCGTCCGCCAAAATCTGGGACCAGTTCTGAGGTCAGGGATAAATCACTGCATAAGCCTAAGCCTGTAGGGCTCATGCTCTCAGGTGGGGTCCCCATCTGCTCTGGCTACTCTGAAATGCACGAAGGTAAAAGCATGCTGAACATCTGCTTTCTCATGGCTCAAGGTGGAAGGACACTGTTGAGAGGATCAAATCAAGCACCGTGGAGCAGTCCCCCCCGTCTATCCTAACCCTGCACAGACCCACCAGCAGTAATTCAGTTCCCATGTCTTCTGTTCTGTCGTTGCTACTATGGAAGACACAGACCATCTACACGGTGGTAGCTTCCTCACTAGATTTAATCAAGGAAAGGGGGCAGGAAGCCCGTTTCCCAGATGAGTAAACCAAGACTGTGAATGGCGAGGTGATACCATCATAGAGGCAATGTATGAGAGGAGGATCGGTGCCTTTCTCACGGACATAGAAACTTGGTGTGTGGTCCAGGCCCTCCTTTCTGAATGGTCTACAGTGACACCCAAGGACATTGGCTTCCTTTCCTCGATGTATACCCCTAGAGGAGAGGAGTCATGGAAGTGCCTCTGTATTTAACTCTGTCTCCTAAGCTTACAGAGCTTAGGGCAGGGGCAGGGCAGAGACAGGGAAAGCATTCAGTGACTGTCCACTTGTGGTCAGTCCTCATCTGGCTGGGTGGTGGTGGCGGCGGCGGCGCACGCCTTTAATCCCAGCATTCGGGAGGCAGAGGCAGGTGGATCTCTGTGAGTTCGAGGCCAGCCTGGTCTACAGAGCGAGTTCCAGGACAGCCTCCAAAGCCACAGCAGAGAATCCCTGTCTCAAATAAAGCAAAAGAAGGAGGAGGAAGAGAAGGAGAAAGAGAAGAAGAAATGCTGATGAGCCATGAGCTTCCTTCTTAATCAATAACAGAGTATGATGCCAGTGTACCCAGGACTATGGCTGTGGACCGGCTCCCAAGAATGGGTAGCAGTTAGATTAAAGTGAAAACAGTGGGGGTGGAGACCCAGGTCAATGTAGCCATTTGGGAAATATCCTGGATCTGCAAGATCCAAAAAGGTTGTAGACAGTGGAATGGAGCCACGGATCAAACCCTTGTGATTTAATCATCTCTGGAGATGCTCTCAAGGCACACCAGAGGTGTGTTTCTACTAATTTCCTAGATGTCTCTCAATCCAATTAAGTCAACAATTGAGATGAGTCATGATATTGTCCAAACATACATGACAAGTGGGGTTGGTGTAGAAGAATGAATATACTTGGTAGGCAAACCATGGATGTTTACCATGGAGCATATGACAATGGTTCAATTTGTACATCATCCCCAACATACACATGACACTGATGAAATACAGACAGAAGGCAGTCATCTTACTATTTTTGCCCCTGTTTCCTCTGCCCCAGTGTGGGGCAATTTCTAGAAGTACAGCAGAAAAGCTGTGGACATGAAGAAAGTAGAACTAAGTGTTCTACCCATGAAGAGCTTAAGGTCTACAGCCTACTGAAGAGGGCCACATGACTTCTGCCTTCCTCCTTTGGTTCCCACAGTCTTTCCCCAGCATAGTACCTGCTCAGACCTCACCAGAAAAGCTGGGACCAGCCATCTTGCCTTCTATGTTAAGGCTCAGAAACTGGGTAAAGGGAGGAATTACCAAGATCTTCACCACTGTTGCCAGGACAGAAATCAGGGCAGCAGTGTCACAAAGCAAGTATCATCATCAAGAGGAACCAATACCCATAAGACAATAGCAAATGCCAAGTCCAAAGCCTGGACAAGTGAAAGCAACGACAGAGGTACAGAGATCACATAACAACCAAGGCTGCAGTATGACAATGTGAAGCAGTTGAGTTGTGAGAGGACCAAGATAAGCACTAAGGACACAGAGCACAGGCCGTAACTGTCCACCAATGAGCAGGAGCAGGGGTGAGGAGGCCCGGACCTTGCCAGATCTGGGACACAGGACAAGTGTCCATTCTCATGTGCCCAGAAGGACATCTTACCTGTATGCTGTCCTCCAGCAGGCTCCATGGTGTTGACTGGCTGCACACAGAGGAGACTGGCAGGAAGAGGAATAAGAAGCACTGAGTCATATGAAACAGTCCATGCTGACCCCTTCCTGGTGCTTGCTACCAAGCTACCCTCAGAGAATGGAAGCCAGGTTTATCTGTGGCAGAATAGCACTACACTGATGGGGGAAGTCCTTCTGTGTATATGTTCTCTATATTGTCTTACTGGTTGATAAATAAAGCACTCTTGGCTAATAGGGAAGCAAGATAGGTGGGACTAGGAGTCAGAGAGGATTCTGGGAAATGTAGTCAAGAGTGGAGAGTCGCCATGTGATCCCAGGAGGAGAGGGCACAAGTCTGGCATTCTTGGTAAGCTAAGACCTTATAAAAATACATGTTAGTAATTATGAGTTAATAATTAAGTCAGAGCTAGCCAATTAGAAACCACAGCAAATGGTCAACAGCTTTATAATTAATATAGCATGCTCTGTGTTCATTTGGGACTGACGTGGCTCTGGGACCAGGCTGGCAGGAAGAATACACGTTACACTACACTGTCACGCACACACGCGCGCGCACACACACACACACACACACACACAAAATGCATAGGCTCTATACCCATGAATTTAACAACTATGAATCAAAAAGTAAAAAATGTTCAGACAATAAACTTTATCTGTACTAAACATATATGTGTTACTGTTATTCCTCAAACAACAATACAATAATTGTTTTTAATATCATTAATATTAAGTGTTAAAGATAATGCAGACAAAAATTAAAGCCCATTGTAAAATTATACAGATTATATACCATTTTATATAAAGGAATTGAACAACCTCAGGATTTGGTATCCATACAGGCTCTGGTATCATTTCTTGCAAATTTGAAGTGATTGCTTTACACACAAATGCATTTATGCACATATATCTGCTGCTATGTTCTCTTGACACCATGCACTCACATATGTACCCCCAGGGCCTGTGGGTGTGGAATCATTGTAATATGCCCTAGGAGAGGCCATTAGAATGTTTTCATTGTGTTGCTAATACAAACAGCATCATGGGAACGGGAAAGATGTCTTAGGGCATAAGGTGCTTGCTGTGCGAGCATGAAGACCTGAGTCTGGATCCTTGCACAGCACCCGTGTGAAAGCCACACAGAGCGGTGTACACCTATCAGGCCAGCACTGGGGAGATGGGGTGAGAATCTCCCAGCCAAAGTGACGGGCTCTTGGTTCATTGAGAGACCTGACTCAAAAACTAGAATGGAGAGCAAGAGGTGCGCCCAACATCAGCTGCTGGCCTCCAAGTGTGTGCTCACACACATATACACACACCCGTGCACATGTGTGCACACCCATGCACATTCACACTATCACACTAAAAAGGAGTATCAAAGATACCTTTGAACAGACATCCCATTTTCTTTCACGTCTTAGTGTTTTTTAGGAACATGGCAATGAAAATAAATGATGTAAGCAACATAACCCTTTTTTATTCATCGCCGCATTTCTTTCTGGGCCGTTGTATATATCCTATCAGCAACATCTGAACACACGCATTCTTAGGGAGAACACACGCATTCTTGGGGAGAATGCACGTATTCTTAGGGAGAACACATGCATTCTCGGGGTGAGCACACGCATTCTCAGGGTGTCTTTCGGGACATTGGCACCGGGATGCAGGCAGATGCCAGCTGTGGCCATCTTGTTACGGCCACAACATTCCAAGCACTGGATTTTATGATTCCTCTCTTTCACCGCAACTTCGTGATCCCCCCCTTTTTTTTAATTTACTGCTCTATCAAAACTCACAATTGTTCTCTGATTTCTTTCTTATATTGCTAGAACAGTGTTGTGTTGCCCAGATGAAAAATGTTCTCCCTTCCTCAGGTGTCAGCCCCCAGCAAAGACATCAAATTCCCCTCATTATAATTAGCCCATCGCAAACGTGCGGGATACGAACTTCTTCTTGATGATGCTTCTTACCTCTTGTCGTTTCCCATTGTATTTGATTCCTTTCGGTGGCGTCACTCTCGTTTGTGATAAGCTTTCATGTTCGTCTTCCATCCTCACAGAAGCTCTCAACTCTTTAATACACCAAAGTATGTCTTCTCTTCACACTGGAGACACTGTCACCCGTCCTCTTTGACTTACGGAAAATTTCATTTTTGTCACAGAGATGAGGTACAGTCATTGTAGGAAAATATTTAAATGTATGCAAGAAAAAATCGGAATAAAAATTACCCACAAGTGGATTTTGTAGCACTTCACAGGCAGGGTTTGTTTTTGTTTTGTTTTTTGAATACATGTAGCAGGGTTTTCTATACTTTGTAATTAATTAATGAGATGTTTTAATGGCCTGAGTAATCTTGTGATGGCTGGGCAGGTTAAAGCACCTCGCTTGCCTGGTGTACTTAGGCCTGTGGAGGCCTCGGTAAGGAGTAAAGTTTGCTGCAGTCTTTCCTTTTGTCTCTTCTCTCAGAGCACTGAAGATGGAGCCTGGGATGCCACACACACAGCGGTCACTCTGGCATCGCACTACAAACCGTGCCCTTACTCGCTACTTTCTAGTCTCAGAATGAAGCATGCAGCGCGTACCCATGAGCTTTGTTAATTTCTACGTAAGATCAAAGTTTTGATGTGCAGGTGAATCCCTATTTTATTTGTTTCTATTAGAGATGGCTATGCCATCCACAAATATATAAAGTCGTGTATGGAAAACTTTTGTTTACTAAGGTTTTAACGTTTTTCTTTCTATTTTATTCATTCATTCATTTATTTACATCCCAACTGCAGTTTCCCTTCCTCCTCCCCCCCCCTCCCCCTCCTCCTTTCCTCTTCAGTCTCTCTTTGCCTCCCATGGGTATCACCGCCATGGTGTATCAAGTTGCAGTGAGATCAGGCACTCCTGTCCTATCAAGACTAAACAAGGCAACCTGCTGGGAGGAAAGGGTCCCTGAAGCAGGCAACAGAATCAGAGGCAGCTCCTCCTCCCACTGTTCGGAGTCCCACAAGAAGACGGATCCACACAACGGTAACACGCGTGCAGAGGGCCTAGGTCAGTCCCACGCAGGCTCTCTGGTTGTTCAGTCTCTGTGGGCCCCTTTGAGCCCAGGTGAGCTGACTATGTGAGGTTTTTATGTGACGTCTTTGACCCCTCTGGCTCCTGCAATCCCCCCCCCTCCACCCTTCCAAAGGATTCTCAAAGCTCCACCTAATGTCTGGCCGTGGGTCTCCGCATCTGTTTCCATCAGTTTCTAGGTGAAGCCTCTCTGACAATAACTGAGGCAGACACCAGTCTATGGGTATAGCATAGCATGGTTAGGAACACTTGCTCAACTGTGTGTGTGTATATCAGCTTTATTTGCAATAGCCAGAAACTGGAAACAACCTAGATGCCCCTCAACCAAAGAGCGGCTGAGGAAAATGTGGTACGTTTACACAACAGAGTATTCCTCGGCTGTTAAAAACAATGACACAAGGAAATATGCTGGTAAATAGATAGACTAGAAAAGATCGTCCTGAGTGAGGCGGCTCAGACCCAGAAAGACAAACATGGCATGTACTCCTGCGTAAGTGGACATTAGCTGTAAAGTAAAGGATAATCGTGCTACAATCCACAGACCCAGACAGGCTAAGTAGCAAGGAAGGCTTGGGGGAGGGGGATGAACTCGTGTATCTCACGGCGAAGGGGAATAGAATAGACACTGTGGGTGGATGTGGCGAGGGGACCTGGGTTGGGGTAGGGATGGGAACAGAAGAGATTGTGTTGGGGGAGGAAGGAGGGAGAGGGTACTGGAAGAGACAACTGGAATCAGGGGCATCTCTGGGATGAACTAGAAATCCAGTGCAATGGAAACTCCCAGGAATGTATGAGGGGGACCCTAGATAAGACTCCTAGCAATGGGGGATTCGGAGCCTGAACTGGCCATCTTCGGTAGCCAGGCAAGACTTCTAGTGGAGAGACCGGGACAACAACCTAGCCACAAAATCTGTGACCTGCAATTTGTCCTGCCTTCAAGATATGTCAGGCTAAAGGTGGTGCAGAAATTGTGTGAGTGGCCAATGGATGACTGGGTCCAGCTTCAGACCCTCATCATGAGAGTGAGCCTGCCCCTGGTGCTTCCTAGAAGGCCAGGACCCAGAGGCTGGATAGGCCAGAGACCTAGGATAGAATCAAACATGACCGGCAAAAATAAATAAAATAATTAAAAAGTCAATGAACTTATTCCTAATGTTTTATCATGTTTATTTACCCTGTTTCAGAAATCCATGCTTGATACTAGCTCCTGCACTCACATGCCATCATTGTCTCTGAAAAGTTTCTATACCCCAATAAGCCTTTCCACCGATGCAGCAATCTAAATCAGACCACATCAAACCGAATTAGAAAAAGCCCACGTTTAATGGATACAACACTTCCCGATGGCCTTCCAGTCCCCCAGAGAGGAGACACAAAAGGAGACCAGAAAAACCACACATCTGTTTTCTGAGGGACAGTTTAAATACCTGTGGGAGTGGTCTTGAGCATCTCTGGGGGAGGGGTTAGCCTTTGGTGGGCTTTCTGAGATGCAGTAGGGTTTGAACGGAGATGGGGAGGGGGGGGTCTTGGGTGGAAACTCTACCACAACATCCCAGACTCTTTGGGTACGTGGATGCCAGTGACTGGGGCAAAGCTTTTATCATTAACAGTTTCTTAAATAAATTTGCTAATTAAATGCAGAAAACACGACTATGCGCCAGCTGAAAGAATAAACATATTTCAACAACAAAAAGGCATTACCCAAAATCCCTCAGTCTGAAGGTCATCATCACCAGCTTTTGTTGTCACTGTTTTGTTGTTATTGTTGTTGTTGTTTTCTCTGTGATATCACACTTGGCCTGTATTAACCAAGAGTTTTCTCTTTGGAAAAATAAGGGACTGGAGAGGCAGCTCAGCGGGTAGAGCACTTGTCACTCAAAAGTCCCCATAGCCAGTTCCCACATAAGTGCTGTACAGACATGGGACCGCCTGTAATCACAGCCCTGAAAGGCATTGACGAGGAATAACTAAGGACTAAGGAATCACTAAGTCAACCTGGCTGGCAGTCTAGTGGGAACCAATGAATTCCGAGCTCAGGGAGAGATACCCATTCAGCAAAGAAAGTAGAGAGCATTTGGGGAGGGCAGTGGACGCGGATCGATGTCCCCCACATGCATGAGCACACACGCAGCCACACACATGCAAGCGCACATGTACACATGCAGGAAAAACACCGCACGAGCTGTCGTTTCCCCAGGAGGGTTTGTTTTCTCTTTCCATATGTGAAACGGCCCGCTGTGTGAGTGCCGCAGGGTCAGCGCCCCGCTTAGACAGGACTTGACTGTTTCTGCTCCCTCTTCATGTACCTAGCACGCACTCACAACGCGTTACCACAGCAGTCTGTGTATCTGCTCCGTCACAGAGAAGGCAGGGCCTATGTCTTTTTCACCCTGGGCGACTAGAATGGGAGCAAATGCACTCTGGGCGCTAACAGACGTCACTAATGCTACCGGGCAGCTGTCACTAATGCTGCCGGGAAGCTCCTTAGGCAGACACTGCACGAATTCTCTCTCCAGGATGCATTGCTCTGTACACACACACACACACACACACACACACACACACACACACACGTGCCATTTCACAGATGAGTAATTATCAAGAAACTCATTATCATTACAGTTCCCTTCACTCCCCTTTATTTTGTGTTTCTTCTCAGAACATACACCTGCCCAGGCTTGGCGGGGAGCCTGGGACAGACACTAAGCAGAGAGTGACTCTGGAGATTGTCCCTCACCAATCCCAGAAACTGTGGATTCATAATGCTGGAGGATGGGTGGGAGGGAGGTAGAGATCTCCACTGAGATCCCCTCTCCAGGCAGACCTACGCTTGTTGGAGGGAGCAGAGGATGAGCATGTATGAGTCTTCAGGCAGAGCAACAAGAACCTTGTGGAGGCAGAAGTGTCATATCCAGGAGACAGGAAAACCAGCCTAGGACCATAGCAATCAAAGTACTGACCTATTCCAGGAGCCCAGTTTTCAGGGGCGTTTCATTACAAACCCTCTAGCCAGCGTAGGTCTTGTGCAGGTCTTGAAGTTCATCCAGTCCACCCTCTCACTCTGTTGGGTCTTGCAGGGTCTCGCAGCAGGCTGTGAGAGAGAAAGCCCAACAGCTCAAATCCCTGCTGTGAATGCCCTGAAACACTGCTCTAAGGGCTAAGGCAGGTCCCATGCAAACCTGCCGAGCTAGCCTCTCTACCTGGAACGGTTTCCAAAGAGACTGGAGAGGAAAAGCCAGCAGCACAAAGCAACCCCATGGGATGCGTGAAGCCCCCAACCCAGCACCCAGCCTAAGCTCAAACGCCAACAACTTCTTGTTCAACTCACACCTCGGGAAACTGGGGCCACACCAGTTCAAAGCCAAAACGCCGCAGGACCTAGACTTCAATTCGGGTATTTCTGATCCTAAGCCTAGCTTCGAAATGGCTGCCTGGGAAATGCAGATGTGCCCGTTTAGGTCTTATTGTTAATCTAACACAGCCTAGAGTCACCTGTGAGGCTCTCCATGAGGAATTGTCTGGATCTGATTCGGCTGTGAGCATTATCTGTGAGGAGTTATCATGATGGTTACTTGATCCCGCCCATTGTGGGCGTCACTGTTCCCTGGGGAGGGAATGCTGAACTGTTTAAGAATGAAAAAACCTAGCCGAGTAAGCAAGCAGCAAGGATATGTTTGTTTTTCTCTACTCTTGACTGTGTTAACCTAAGTCTTGAGTCTCTAAGTAACTGCCACACTTCCCTCGATGATGAACGATAACCTGGGATCATAATCCAAATAAAGCCCTCCCTCCCCCGGGTTGATTTTTGTCAGTATCTGTGTAATGGCAACAGAAGTGAAACCAGAAGAGCATTCCCTCTCAAGCCTGAGCACCTCTCTGCAGACTCCTGGGAACGTCATCCCATCCAATCAAGTCTCAGGAGAGAAAGAATCAGGTGCAGGCAGAGAAGCAAGTACAGAAAGCTATAGGGAAGGCTTGTCCCAGAACAGTGAGTTGTCTGGTTGGGAGCAAAGTAGATAGAATATGCCACAGGTTCCCTAAAGTCCTTAACAACAAATGACTCTTCTTGAGGAGTCTAGACAAGGATGAGACCCACATGTGTGACTTATCAGATCCCAAGAGGAACCCTGGGCAAGTACTTTTGCCCTTTCCAGCCAATCGTGACCGTGACATGCGTGCTCTGAATATCCTGCCCACATGCTACCACCTTACCCTCGCCCAACACTGCCGGACAGCAGATAGGCTGCAGAGGTGAGGGAACAGAAAGGAAGGAGAAAATACCAGTCCTAGGATGAGTTTTTCACATCACCAAGGCCAACGGGTAATTCTCCAAGAGGACTGTTGTTTTAATCACAAACAGGGATCTCTGAGACCAGGAACTGCCCTGTAAGATGACTGTTCACAGAAGTAGGGACAGCTCTAGGTCAGCACAGAGCTCGGCACTGCCAGCTGGGTGACCTCTGCAGGAAGAGAGGCCCGAGGCCTCCCTGAGTGTCATCCCATCAGCCCCCTAGTGAAGCCACTAGCATCCCTAGCTCGGGTGACTGTCACACACTCCTCATCAGTTTCCACCCAGTGGCCACAATGATTGTTCCAAAAAAAAATTCAATCATTTCCCTCTGTCATCTAAAAAGATCCCCATAGCTCCCACTGCCTCCAGGATAAAACCTTTCACTAGCAGCTGCCTGGTCTGGCCCGCCCCCCCTCCAGCCGCCACCCCCACCTCCTCACCCCCCACCCCCGTTCGCTCTCAACACCACACCACCCTCCCAGGGGAAACTTCCTTTAGTTGCTCAAGCGTGAGACTCCCTGTCCTGTCCAGCTCCTCCTCCCCACACCTCACCTGACTCCTTCCATTCTGTCCCTCAGGCAGTGTCCTTCTTCTCCCTGCTGGGAGCCTGTATCCCTCGTCTGCCACTGTCCCGAGGCCATTTGTATCGGTCTCTCTCATGCGCTTCATCCAATGCGGACAGGAGAGTATAGATTTAGTATTTTATGTCATCTTAAAATGGATCAGCAGAAAAGCCCCCGGAGATCCTGAGCCAAGTGTCCTTGGAAACACCAGTCACTACAGTGTGTGGAACACAGCACACCATGTCACCAGAAGGACCTGTCCAAAGTACATTACATGGACTGGATATATTCTATTTGTGTATTTAGGAATACACACACCTACACACACCACCACCACCAACACAACAACAACAACAACAATTAAAGAAAAAAAAGTCCATGAATTTGAAAGAAACAAATAGCAAAAAAGAAAAAAAAAGAGAGGGTGGTGTGTGGAGGGGTTTGGGGTGAGAAAAGGGGAGAGGTGAATAATTAAATTATAATCTAAAATATTTTAAGGCGGTATATAAATGATAAATAGATGAATAAATAACTGGTCACAATTAGTGACAGGTATATGAAAGATCTAAAGCTGATGGCTTTTTGATGATGTTTGATAGATAACGGATCGATATTTAGATACATGGAGAGACCTGAAATACGTTTAATGATTTCCACAGAACACATGTTGAAATAACAGTAGACCAATCAATGAGTTTCCTTTTGCCAGCCCCTCAGTGAGATGCGCTCAAGGTCACATAACCAGTCAACAGCAAAACTGGGACGAGAAAACCAGCCCCCGGCCGCGCATCTACTTTCTTCCCAACAGGACCTGTTCCCTTTTCTGTATCACACTCCACACCCTACGATTTTTGTCCATTGAAGGGATTGATGTTATTTCCAAACCAAACGGTGGTGTTTGTGACTCTGCAGTGGCATGGCCTGGCTGCCATTACAGGCGCGCCCTGCACAGAGGATGGTGTTTCTTGCCAAGACAGATTCTTGGAACCACATGGAGATCGTCAGAGCCCAAGGTAGGGTACTGAGGGCAAGCTGGCAATGAGCCCTGGTTCCGGAGAGATCATGATCCTGGGATCCCAGATAAGGAAGACTTCCCTTTTAACAGGTATCTTGAGTAGGCACAGGCTGTTGAAATCAAAGCCAAGGTCTTGGCTGGGCCTGGGAGTCCACGACCTGTCAGCTCATCTGCCAGAACCATAGCCAATCGCCCTGTCCGGACCTCAGCCAAGACTCGGAGCCCAACCCTCATGTCCTCTCCAAATTCTTCTTATGTGCCCATTATTCCAACCCTGCCATGCTGCCACTGTTCTCTGGCCTTGTAACACGCCACATGGACACATCTTGCCTTGCTATGCAACTCCAAAGCTCCCGGAAGGTGGCGAAGACTCTCTGCTAGCTCCCACTGGAACAAAGGATGACCTCGCAGTGCACGCTGGGAAGGAAGAGCCGTCCTGCAGGGCCCAGCGTGGCTCTAGATGCAGAGCAGGCACAGAACGGGTGTTTGGGACTTCCCAGCAGCCTTCCACACCCTACAACCAAACAGAAGCTGTGCTAGAGACAGGTAGAGAAGGAGCCTGGGATGATGCATAAGCAGCCAGCTCTTAGGACCCCAGCTTAGGCGGTGTGGGAACTGAGGGGCACAGGCCACATCTGGGCTCTCCAGCTCTGATTGGATCGAGTCGTGCAGAAGGGAAAGCCTGAACCGTGGTATTACAGTCTCACCTGAGCCCTTGAAGGAAACCCGTGGGAGGTGGCTGTGCAACTGCCTAAATGAAACTAAGGATCCTACTACCCTCCCCCAAGCCCGCTGTCCGCACAGCAAAGGAATCCCGCCAGGCCTCACAGTTTCACACCCCAAGAACACTGCACGAAGTAGTGTCAGCTCTCTTGGCCCAGAAAAGAACCAGGGACTATGGGCGGGAGATGTGGAGCCATAGCCAATCTTTTGTTCCTAATGGTAAGATCCATTCTTCACCTCCACTCACCCCCCACACACACGCACGCACGCACACACATGCACACACACGCGCACACACCTTCACAAACTGCGACTTGAACCTTTAAAACGAACAGCAAGCCCTACTGTAAATTCAGATGCCCAGCAGCCCAGCGTGGGCTCCAGCCCTCTTGGCCTCGTTGTCTAGGCTAAACTCATGTCTAAGGCTTCTCTGCTAATGTGTTGTATGGGAGATGCCACAAGACCAAACCCTCCATTCACACCACCGCCTTCACTTTCCCCTCTAGGCAGCAACTGGCCTGTGGGGATCCAGGCAAGGCAAACACGGCTCAGCAAGCAGAGCAGAAGGCAGCCAGTGGTGAGCTATGTGTCTGTCTGCCTCGATGCCTGGCTATACAGCTCTGGTCCTGGAGGCCAGCCAAGCTGGCCTATTGTCTAGCGCTGTTTGCCTTTAGGGCAATGGGTACCATTGAACAGAAAGATTGGAGCCTGGGTTATGTAGAGTAGCAGCAGGGAGCCAGCTTTGGTGCCACAGGCCTGGGGGTGATTTGTGAAACCCCTGAAGAAGGGTCACTGGAGTCAAGGGCCTGCCTTCCCTCCCTTCTTCAGGCTTGGAGAACCCGGGTGACTACAGGACCTCCTCTAAAATCCCTTTGTCCTCCTCTCCCAGGCCTCTCAAACCTGGGTCTCCTCCCAGAGCCACCTACTTCCCACCCACCCCTGCACACACCCCTTCACCAGAGGCACGATGCCGCAAGCGCGTCCACAAGGCACTTAGCATCCACTTCTGGAGCAGGCAGAGCTGTTCCACACACAAGTTACAGGTGGCTGGACTTACACAATTTTCCCTCCCGTCAAAACCACATCCTGTCATTTGTATTTGTCTCTCAAAACCCCCTCCTCACGAAGGTCTCCCCACCCAGCTGCAGCAGGAGACCTTCCCCAGTCATGGCTAGGGCCAGCAGCTCCCTAACTCAGGGGCAGCCTGAGACCAGGGCTCCATCATCTACATCTGTGAGATCCTAAGCGAGCTACTTCCACTGGCCCGCCCCCTCAGCTGTGGGATAAGATGGGCTCGCAAGATCTCGAAGGCCATTTTGGCATTAAAGTACTATAACTTATAACCATCTTTGTAAGGTTCTTGAACCCTCAGGGGCAGATGTTGACACCAGAGGCATACAACAAGGATGCACACTTCTGGCTAGAGAATGTAAGCCACCAACTAACATATTATGTGGCTGTACCCAGCTACGGGGTAGTTACCACACTGTCTGTTAGCACATTTTACTAATGGCACACATTTTCAAGTGTACCCCAGTGTTTTGAATGTACCTGTCACACTTTGGGATAGGTACATGCTTTGAGGAGTGCATACATTTGGGGACACTTTAGGCCATGTACATACGACACACTTGGGATGCCTACACTGTGTGTGCACCGCACCTGCATTCAGAGGAGTTTCACCACAATGCTGGCAACTCTGGGGTGAGGAGCACATAGCTTTCAACCAGATAGAATGGAATGGAATATAATGAATTTACACACCCATTAACCTTGAGTAAGCCAGTTGCCCTCTGCACTCAGTTTCTTTACCTGTGAAATGGGAATAACAACAGGACTTAGCACTCTTGGAAAGATTAAAGAAGGCAGTGCCTAAAACAGAGCCTGGCATGGAAGGAACACATGGATGGTAGATTGTTACTGTGCAGGGGGCTTAAAGATAATTTTCAATGTGTGTGTTATGGATAATCCCAGAGCTCAAAGACCTGAAAACTCAATCATGAGACAGGAGGACCGCTTAATCCATGTTTATTTCACATTTGATCTGTAAACTTTATTTTAAAAAATCCACTGTCATAAGCAACAAGTGCTGACATTTAATTTTCCTTTCATGAAATGGGAGCGCAGGCCTTCCGCTGTCCGCCTGAAATACGTAGAAACCCTGCTGTAAACACCAAGTCTCTGTCCTGCTCCCTCATTTTGGCCATTCATTAGTGACAGGTCTCACTCAGCCAGAAGAGCCAGGGGCGGGGAGGCTCTCACACCTCAGAGCTCTTGGGGCTGGCAGGCCCATTTGTCTTCTCCCTATTTACCTTGTGCAAACTGTATCAGGTTTGTTTCTTCCACATAATTTCCACCCCTCCCTGTGCGGCTAAAATCAGCAGCTGAAAGATTCCCCTCTGAGTCAGCACTTTCTGGGGGGAGGGGCAGCGCACTTACAAGATAGAAACATAGGTATTCTTCTTCGAGCCTTGGCCCCCGAGGAGTGGGGAACCACAGAGTCAGTTTTAAAGTGAGTTACTGGGGCAAGTGACGCCTCAGATAATAATGGCTTTATACACAAGGCTGATGCAAGGCGCAGGCTCATTTCCTTCTGTCTTGGTCCATCGCTGTGATATTTACATAGGAAAAGGCAATTATGCTGTTAGGCACGGGGGGGGTGAGGGGGGACGACGACAATGAACAGAAACCCTGTCCCTGTCAGGAAATCTGAAAGCAGGTCCGTGTCCAAGGGACAGTCACCAGTTACTGGTGAAAAGCACTGAGAGCCACATGACACTAGAAAAGGGCTTGCATTGCAAAGGACCTTGGTCTGGACCTGGTTGAGCCGAGGTGCCCGGTAGCATCTCCACCGCCATGATTCCAACATCACACCAAGGCCAAGGTTGAGGACTTCAAAGTACGCTATCAAAAATAATGTATATTTACAGTGGGGGTGGAGGAGGGCAGGCGGGATGCCCTGAATGGGCTTTTTAAAGGAGGGAGAATAGTAATTAGCCAGGGCTAGGAAATCTTGGTTCGTTAACCCTTTGGCAGCCGTGCCCTCTCTAGTACTGCTTGCTCTTGCTCTGAAGAGCTTGGGAGAGTCAAGACCAGGGGCAAGGGTGTCAATATCATTAGGAAACAATACTGATCAGGGGTAGCCCACCAGGAAAATGGCTGTGTGTGGGGAGCAACCATAGCAACCACCATAAGGCGCACGTGTCCCTCTCAGACAGATTTTTACACTTGTAACCAAAAGTGCTCTCAAGAGCACGGGGCTCGCTCCAAGTTAGGCAGCACACAGAGCAGGTAGGTCTTGGGTTTCAGAACGCTGGGGCTGCATGCATAGACGCGCCCCCTCAAAACCCGGAACCTGCATGGGACAAGCGTCTGTAAGCAGGGCGCGTCCCAGCAAGGTTCACACGATGCGCTTTCTGTCCCCGCGGCAGAGGATCTTCTTGAAGGCGCGGCGGAAGTCGTGGTTGAAGATGGTGTAGATGACCGGGTTCAGCGAGCTGTTGCAGTAGCCGAACCAAAAGAAGAAGTTGAAGAGCTGGGAGGGCACCGGGCAGCCGACCGCTATGAGCGTGTAGGTGAAAAAGAACGGGAACCAGCACACCACGAACACGCCGATGACCACAGCCAGCACGAACGTGAAGCGCTTCTCGCGGTTCTGTCGCCCGCGCCAGCGCGACGCTTTGGCTCCCCCGCCGCGCTCCTCTCCCGGCCCCGAGCCCGCAGCTCCGGGCCCCACAGCCCCCGGCCCACGCCGCGGCAGACTGTCCCCAGGCTTCACCTGGCTCGCCCGGGTCTTGCCCTTGGCCCGGGGACCGCGTTCGGGTCTACGGGGCCCCGGGGGCCGCTCGGCGTGCTCGGACGACGAACTCTCCTCTAGGTCCAGTGCATCCCCTTCGCGCGGCCCGGCGGGCGCGGGCTCCCCCGGGGCGCCGTTAAGCTGGGTGGGGAGAGGCTCGGCCTCGGCGCCCGTGGCGCCCGCGCCCCGTTCCGGGCCCAGGCCGTTGGGCCTGCGATCGGTGCCCCCAGGAGGCGCGGAACAGGCGTCCGGACCCCGGCGGCTGGGCGGCACGCGGGTGCGACGCTTGGCGATCTGATAGATACGCACGTAGACCAGGATCATGATGAGGCAAGGCGCGAAGAAGGACCCGATGGACGAGGAGATGACATACCACTTCTGGTCGTTGATCTTGCAGCTCGGCTTGGCCGGCTGCTGCCCTCCGCTAGCGCCCTTCTTCTCTATGGAGATGAGTGGCGGGAAGGAGATGACTGCCGAGATGACCCACACGGTGACGATGATGGCCTTGATGCGGCGCGGCGTGCGCTTCAGGTTGTACTCGATGGCCTGCGTGATGGACCAGTAGCGGTCCAGGCTGATGGCGCACAGGTGCACTATAGAAGACGTGCAGAAGAGCACGTCGAGCGCCAAGTAGATCTCGCACCACACTTTACCAAAGTACCAGTAGCCCATAACCTCGTTGGCCAAAGAAAAGGGAATGACCAGCGTGGCCACCAGGATGTCAGCTGAGGCCAGAGACACCAGGAAGAGGTTTTGGGGCGCTTTGAGCGCACGGCTGGTGAACACCGCAATGATGACCAGCACGTTGCCAAACACTGTGAACAGCATGAGCAGGCCAGCCAGGCACACCAGTGTCAGTGTCACCTGCAGGGAGTAAGGGGTGGCCCGGGTGCCGCCCCCGGGAGCCTCAGTCCCGTTCCAGCTGTAGTTGCCGGCATCCGGCTGCAGGGAGCCCATGGGCGCAAAGCTGCCCTCGGCCAGCGGCTGCTCCTGGCGGAACATGAACGCGGGCGCCGGTTCTCCTGGGCCTGCTGCCAGCTGCCTTCCGGCCGGCCCCGCGTCCGTGGGTCCTCCTCTTCCTCCGGCGGATCGTCCCGCCGCGCCTCACATAGGGAGATGGCCGCAGGGAGCCCGGGCCCAAGCTGGAGGGCCGCTAGTGGTCCATGTACTGGCACCCGCGGCCCTTCCGACGCTCCGGGTGGGCGCCTTCTCTCTTCCAGCTCCCCAAACACAGACAAGTTTTATTTCTAAACGACAAGATAGAGTAGGGCCAGCTGGTGGCTAGAGATTTATTCTTCAAGAAAAGAGAAAAGAAATCATCGGTGGCCTGATGACTTGGAAAGATGTCAGAAAATTATACAAATGTATTTAAATAGACATCTATACCTTGACTCTTGAGCTGAGCGAAAGCAGGAAGTCTTACCCCAAGAGGCAGCGGAGGGGTGCTGGTGCGGGCTCAGGGTCCTGGGTCTGTCTTCTTCCAGCCTCGAAGCGATTTCCGACTTTGTCTCTGCCCCCCAGGCGCGGTGGCGCGGGCTGGGCTGGACCTCGGGCGAGGGTGCAGACTCTGCCTCCTCTTGGAGAGCCACGGGACTTCCAAAGTTGTGCGCCCTGCTGGGGCTGAGACGCAGCGTACAGAACTCGGGGGCGGCGGCAGCGGAGGGGTGAAGGGTGTGGGGGCCGCATGAAGGCACCCCCCAGGTCCTCAGGGCCAAGCTGGGTGAGCGATCGGCTCTCCAGGAGCCACGGCCAAGGCAAGGGAGGCTGCTAACCGCGAGCTGGGTAGGCACTGAGCGCAGCAGACCCGGTGGGGGTCCTCAGACCTTTTGAGTTTTAGCAGGACTTGGGGCTGAAGGCGCTTGGGGTGGTTGGGCCGGCGTGCACCGGCTGCTGGGCGTCTGCACAGAAGCGGGAGCCGCTGCTGCTCCGCGGAGCTACGGTGGACTGGTTTTATAGCCCCAGGATGAAGCCTGCGTTGCCGAGCAGCCAGCGTCAGCCCCCACGTGGGAAGCCGACCCTCCTCCGCCCCTCGCGCCTCCCCTCCTTGGTCTAGAGCCCGCACCCGCGTCGGACCCCAGAGAGTGCTGCCTCGCAGGCTAGACCGGCCTTCTGGAAAGGAGGGTACTGTGAACCAGGGGCTTCAAGAGAGAGCCTAAGGAGTGGGGAGCGGCCCCTGCTGGGAGGTGACCGTGCAGCTTCGGGCCAGCCGGGAGACAGTAGCAGACACCCAGGAGTGTAGCGATCTAGCTGGGTTCTACCAGGAAAGGGTGCCAGGGTGCTGGGACCCGAGTTAGGAGTTGCAGCGTTGCGTAGGTAGGGGTCGCTGGCGAAGCAGCCCCACCCCAGGCCTGGCGCAGGTGCTTTTGGTGGCCAGGATGAAAGGGATCCTGCATGTGCAGTCCCTATGGAACCGCTGGAGCGGAATGGACAGCACCCACGCATAAGCAGCCACGGCCTGAGTTATTCATCCTTAGGAAAGAGAAGGCCATGTGTCCTTGCAGCCATAGAGCTGTCTGCGGGTCGCTTGTGGCCTGGGGTCTGCACCGCGCCCCCTTGAACAGCGGTGGGGAAGGGTCCAGGAGGCGTAGGCCCTGAGCCGTGACAGAACGAGAGCGCACTGACACCTGCTGGCCGCTGAACGTCACGGCTGGGAAGAGGCTTGAGGCTCCAGGCTCCAGACTCTAGTCCTTTCCTACATCTTCTAAGCTCAAGGGGGGAAGAGGTGGGGGGGGGGTAAATCTAGAGTTTACTGCACTGTCATGTTTCAGAAATCGTCGAGGTGTGTGTGTGTGTGTGTGTGTGTGTGTGTGTGTGTGTGTGTGTGTGTGTGTACCTCCGACAAGAGTGAAGCTCGAACCTTCTACAGATGTGAGCGAGTCCTGTGCCGTCCTCTCTGCTTACTTTAAACTGCTGGAAACCGTTAAGCATTCGTTGAGGCATAGCTATTTTCTGAAGAGCTAGGAAAGAGGAGCGCCACGACATCATAAGTGGATGTAAGCCTTAATCACGCTATTTCAATCAGTACATTGTGTGAGCATGTATTAAAGTACCACACTGTAGTTCACAAATGTACACAATTACTATGTGTTAATCAAAAAGGGTTTTTTTAACTTTTATGGAAACAGAAATGTTAACTTCCCTGATTTGATCATTCCATGCTGTGCATCATATTGAATTAACATACAGCATCTCACACAGTTGTGCAATTAAAATAAAAAATCTAAAGTTAAACTCCACACCACTTACATGTGCCTTGCCCTTATACCCCCAACACACACACACACACACACACACACACACACACACAACTGCACAACATCTTTCAGTGGGGGGGGCAGGATGCTAGCCAATGAAGAGAGACTATTCTGATGCTCTTTCTGCTAAGAATGGTAGGAACATGGGAATGGACCACAGTTTCCAAGCATGCTGGATGTCAGTGGCACCAGATTCACTATGCCATCTGCACTTTAGAGGAGCAGCAGGCAGATCATGAAGTCCAGCAGAGCAGGAAATGTCGACAGGGTGGGCATAAGACCTAAAGAAACATATGTTATATTCTGTTTATGCTGTCATTCAAGCCCAGACTCCACGCTCCGAGCAGATAACTGGAACATTGAGATGCAGGCTCAGGTCTGGCCGAGAACTGCAGGCTAAATGAATGGTCTTGACCGTTAGTTCCAACTCCAGTTGATATTTGCAGCCCTCACTAGCTACTAAGTACTTCTCGGATGTCTCATTTGAACTCAGCACCTTCACTGCCCAATCCTTCCCCAAACAGAGAGCCTCTGCTCCTGTCTTCAGACTGACAAGACTTTCTCAGACTCTCAAGAAAACCCAGAAGGCTGACAGTCCCCTCTGTGTTGAGACTCTTGTTCCCGCCTTCTCCTAAGTCTCTGCTCCAAGCCTGTTGAGCAGGGACATTGCCCGTCTGCTCACTTGGGAATGGGACCGAAAGTGGCCAGTGGGAAGTGTTCAGGTTTTGGGAAGACTTTTGTAAAGCCAATGAAAGCTACAGAGAGGAATGAGCTCAGGTTGAGAATCGCAGCCCAGACCTGAGGCATGCAGACTTCTAGAGTGGTGTCCCAGACCCATAGGAACTGAAGCAGATCACACAGTGGAGAGCTGGCATTGGTGGCCTGAGGGGGCCCCACCCCCTGGACACACCCGTAAAGGTCTAGAACTATTAGAAAAAAAATCCACTTCTTAGCACTGGCTTCAGGTCAGCCGCAATGCTAAGCAGTTTACAAACTATATATTATTTTGTCTGATCATCTGCTTATGTAAATGAGGGAAACAAGGGTCAGAAAGGCTAAGCATATTGCCAGCCATTTATTGGACTGCTTCCCGAATGTAAACAGGATGTAAACTGAGTATAAAAATCACCACCACCGCTCCCCACCTGAGGCTCTGCCCTCAGAACCCTGGCAAAGGCTCACCCAGAGAGTGGTGAGCTATGGACATTGCTCAGGGGGGAGTCCTTAATTAGCATGTTCGATTCCTTCAGTCCTCAACACCCCTGCACAAAGTGAGTGCAGTGTGGTGGTGCATTCCTGTGACCCGGCCCTGGGGAGGTGGGGGCATGATGGTCACAAGCCCAAGGTCACCCTGTTGCATGATGAGTTTGACCCCGTCCGAAGGAAGGGGAGTGGTGGGAAGTTACAAGTTCTCCTCCGTTCTGGAAGGCGTCCTCCAGGTGTGACTGCTACAGTAGGGCACACGTGGGACACAGGGTGTGACTCACCGTCCTGGTATAGTGTCAGGCACACTCTTTGGGAGGCTGAACATTTCTCAGGATCTCTGATACAGAACATGGAGAGATGAGAATCCCTCCCTCTCCTGGGTATCAGTATTAACTTGAATAAACTTTCACTCTCTCTCTCTCTCTCTCTCTCTCTCTCTCTCTCTCTCTCTCTCTCTCTCTCTGTCTCTCTCTCTCTCTCTCTCTCTCTCTCTCTCTCACACACACACACACACACACAGTGGGCTCACACTCAGACCTACTCACATAATATGCACAGTGAAGTCATGCTCAGGTTACCCTCACACTGTGGGCTCCTCTTTTGTTCCTGGAGCATCCCGGAAGACCGATGCTTACAAATCCCATTTCTGGGGGTAGAGACATCTACTTTGCATGAGGCCCTGAGTTCCATGCCCAGGACCACTACATGAATATTTTGGAACAGACTCCTTGAGAATGCCAATTCACTAGGATTAAGATGGAATCTTAGTATTTGCATTTTTAACATAAATAATTCAATAAATACTACAGATCTAAATGCTTATGAGTTGAACATAAGGATGAAATCCACATCTGGCTGAGCTGCCAACAAGACAGCAGGCCCGTGAGTAATCAACCAAGATGGCTAGTATTTCAGATCAGGGTCGAGCTACACTATGAACTAATTCACAGATATAGGTATAAGACATTCTATTCTATGTTTTTCCCCCAAGGACATTTAAGTCAGCAGGTATTCTAATTGTGTCAGATGATTTGTCAAAAAAAAAAAAACCAAAACAAACAACAAAATGAATGCTGCTTAGCTAAACTATCTTTGTTCTCGAATTCCATCTGGTTTCAATGTCAAACGAAACCCAAATGTGCCTAGGCATCTCAGCCCCACTGTCACACCTTGAATACAAAATGGCCCTTATGTGTCAACAGTTTGATCCCAAGCTGGTAGAATTATTTTGGGAGGTTGTGACAACGTAAAGAAGTGAGACTTGGCTGAAGGAGGTCAGTCACTTGGGGGCTCGCCTTTTGCCGTGGTTAGAATCTGACATGTCTCCCACAGGTCCAGCCTTGGGTTTGAACTCTTGGCCTCAGTTGACAGCACTGTTTAGAAAGCTGTGGCTCCTTAAGGAGATGGAGCTTCACAGGAAGAAGTGAGTCCTGGGGGGTGGGCCTTAGGGTCTTACAGCGAGACCTGACTTCCTGTCCACTCTGTTCCTTGACTGCGGGTAATGTGACCAGGACAGCAGCCCCCATCTCCTGCTGCCCACCACGATGGACTATATCCCATCAAACTATATGCCAGCATGAACCCTTCCTTCCTTCCTCCAGCACGAACCCTTCCTTCCTTCCTTCCTTCCTTCCTTCCTTCCTTCCTTCCTTCCTTCCTTCCTTCCTTCCATAGCTTCTTGTCACAAAAAGAGAAGTACCTTTGAAGAGCATGCCTGGTCCCTGTCCTTTCTGGGCTGATAAGCGCACTACTGCTACCCCCATGTTCTTCCAAGGACATAGGGCTAAGCAACCATGGTCCAAACCCTTGAACTGTGAGCATAATAGTGGTTTCTGTCAGGTAATTAATTGGTTACATCAGTGAAAAGTAATGAATCTGCTTACCTTGATGGGGACTTCAATTTAACAGAGACAGAGAGCTGAGCGGGAGAGGACATTATTATTATTGCTGTGGTTATTTTGGTTTTGAGGTTTTATTTTGTTTTGTTTTGTAATTGTCCAAGGGAAAAAACAGCATACCTATTGGCACATACACCTAGGCAATGTCAAAACCCTCTTGAATAGGAATCTGCCACTCATTCAGACAGACACAAGCCGTCCTCCACCCCACCTCCCAGAGAGACGGTGCTTAAACACAACTGTCACCCTTCTGAACACGATGAGCAGGTGTGGAACATAATGTTCTCATGCTGTGCACACAGCTGGAGCCACAAACATCTGTCAGCTCACTGTCTTTGCTGAGAGGAGACAGGGGACTCAATAGAGGAAAATCCATCACTTCTCTGAGCTTCCTCCTAACTCCTCCATCTTACTCTCCCCTGTGCTGACGCTTGTGGGTGGGCATCCTTTGATGACTGCAGGCTGGTAGGAGCCAGAAGGAGTGTGCGGACCTGTCTTCCCACCCCTCATGTCTCGCACTGACGCCAGTTCTCTGCGGCTCTTCACAGCTCAGCCAGTAAGCCCTGCCTGTCACTGACTTTGTCACTGTCTAAAGCTCTAGCCCAGCCCTGTGTGCTGCCCTGGAGACTGAAGCCAGGTGTTCCCTTCCTGTGA